CTTCCGTAAAATTACAGAATTGTACCCTTGTTGGGGGCACGAGTTTGTCACAGATGCGAATGCTGCTAGCTGCCTGGGGGTCGGGGTGTAATGCACACACATCCGGAGAATGCAACACATGGCGCAACTTAGTAGTCTTCAGGATCTCATGCATATGCACAATTCTGATGAAGTTTCCAAAGGTGTCACGGGAATGAGCAGTATATCGTTGTCGGACGTGTTGAAATCGCCGATAAGAAGTGGATTCAATCGAGCAAGTCAAGTGCACATCGAATTATGAACGGGCGCAAAAAGAAAAAGAAAAAAAAGGGAACACAGCGCGCTACGTTTCCATTTCTTTTTTCTACGTTTTTATTCTGGCAGCACCACGTTTTTTTGCGCCCGTTCAAAAAAAAAAAAGGAACACAGCGCAAAAAAAAAAAAAAAACGGAAACACAGCCCGACGTGTTGAAACATGGCGTTGCTAAAAAAACTATTTTCCCGGGCGGCCCTGCCGTGCAAGGACCAGGAAAGGTCCCAGCAAAAAAAAAAAAAAAATCTAAAAAATACGAATTAAAAAAAAAAGAACATGTTCTGCAGAGGAAAAAATAAAGGGAAAATTTTCGAAATGCCCCCAAAGTTTGCATTTATTTGCGGCGTGCCCCTGTAAACGCCGACTTACCCTGTGATGCCCCTCGGGCCTCTGAAATTTTCTGCAGGCCCCTGTCAGCATGGGGCATAACTTTCCAATATGCCCTTACTGGACCCCTGGTGGCGTTCCGTTGGTCGGTCCTTGAAATGCCCTCACGAGGGGCACACATCTTTCTGTGATGCCCTTGCAGCAGTGGTGGCAGGAATTTGAATTCAATGTGGTAGGCATTCCACGCGCCGCCACGGAAAACGGTCTGTATATGTGTGTGTGTGTGTGTGCGTCTGTGCGCGTGTGTGTATATGTGTGTTGTGTGCACGCGCGCGCGTGTGTGTGTGTGTGTGTCCATGCTTATTGCCAAATTTCTGATATGCCCGCGTAGCATCTCTCCCTGGGCCAGGGGAAAGACTGCGAGTGTCAACAACGGCCACAGGGGCTCGCTGGAAAGATGGACGGTACCAATAAGGGCATATGGGAAACTTTTGTGCTGGTTCTCAACGGCCATCCGGTAGGGGCATACTGAAAATTTGGTACTGGTACCGGTAGGGGCATATGAAACATTTTTCAGGCCCAAACGACGCCAGGGGTTTTCTGGAAACATCATTCGTCGTCAGAGGGGCGCGACAAGGTAAGTCGGCCCTCAGAGGGGCACACCGCAAATAAACACAAACTTCAGGGGCATTTCGAAAATTTTCCCAAAAATAAATGAACTTTTTTTTTTTTTTTTTTTTTAGAAGAAAGATATGTTTTCTTTCCCTTAAAAAATTAGGTGGGTCCCTCAGTGGGCGAGGCATCATCGACCAAGCACAACTTTTGCCTCAGGGTCACATCGAAATTCTTTACCAAATTTAAAATAAAACTATTAAAAAGTAAAATTAAAACATTTTATTTATTTATTTATTTATTTTTATTTATATTTATTTATTTATTATCTTTTTTTTCTTTTTTTTTTTGGCCCGGCAGGGCAATTGGTGCTGGGCCACTCTGGTAGCCTAGATAAAAAATAGATAAAGAGTGGTGTTGCTGGGCGCGAAGGGAAGGGGGAGAAGGCCCATAACCAAAAAAAAAAGGAATGGGGGGAAAAAAAAAACAGAGAGTCCAAATATGGACTAGCACTGTCTAGACTCGGCAGATCGCAGCAGACAGATCTACGTAAATATAAGATATAGATACATAGATATAGATATGTAGATATATAGATGTAGATTGATATAGATAGATAGAGTATATACAGATTAAATACACGAACAGAACTGCATATAGACGGATAAAAAGCGATAGACAGATCAATTGCACTCCTGCCCGAAACAGACAGATATTGAATTGATTGCATTACTTTTTATTCTTTGATTTTCTATATTGTATATTTTTTTATGACAATATACAATATAAATCTTCTATCAACATATTAATATAGTATTCATTTAATCTATTTCAATTTTATAAAAATATTGTCTCAAACAGAAATACAATTTGTTGATTCTATTCATTCTGTTTAGTATATAGGTGTATTAGAATTTTTTATTTTATATAGATTACATACAAATTATATAGATGATTATATATATTTCATTCATAGGTACACCAACTATAGATTTGAATTGTATATATTATTGACTAATTTATTATTGAGTAATTCTCATTAATATTAAATTAAAAAAAAATAGATAGATAGATAGATAGATAGATAGATAATGCTAGACAAAGATAGACAGGGGAGGATATCCGCATTGTGCTTATCAACGTACACACAAACCGAAGAAAAACAACGACAAGGTAGATAAACATATAGATAGATAATGATAGATAATGATATGTCCTTCGGGACATCCGTTAAAATTGGAACGATACAGAGAAGGGTAATTAGCAAATGGCCCCTGCGCAAGGATAGATAATGATAGACCGGGATAGATATCCGCATTGTCCCGATCAAAATGCACACACACACACACACACACACACATACACCCACCCACCCACACATACACACACACACACACACACACAGATAAAGGCGGATTTATCGGCCAACTCATGTGGCCTCCCGAACACAACGCACCCTGATCAGGGGAATGCATAAACCTATTTTTCCGGGTCGATACAGTCATGATGAGGGTCCGTTCTATGCGGGAAAGAAGGCTCATGCCATGACAACTTGAGAGAGAGAGAGAGAGAGAGAGAGAGAGAGAGAGAGAGAGAGAGAGAGAGAGAGATCTGCACTCCCCAGACCACTCCGGGCAGATGGAGAAATAGATGGTAATAAATTAATTGCATAAGATTACAAATAAATTAATATCCATTTACATAAAATACATAATGTGGATTACACAGTGAATGAAGAGAGTGACAATAATTATGTGTGTCACAATAGAGAGTCAAGGACAGACCAGCATTCATGAATAAATAGGATATATAGATAGATAGATAGATAGATAGATAGATAGATAGATATTACAATAATTACATAGAATAATCAATAATATTATATTATATTATATTATTATATATCCATATATAATATCCATATAATATATATCGTCAAACAGAACTTCCCAGTAAATCGCAGGCAGAGCGGGAGAAGAGGAAAACAAACGAGGGGCTATGACAAACTGTTTCGTCGGAGTTACACCAACCCATCAGGAGGCTGTGTATACATATATGTATATACATGAGGCTGAATATATATATAATATATATAACATATATAGGTAGATCAGGCGGATCAACGGGGAAGGGAAAGGCATTAAAAAAAAAACAAAGACAATTTTTTTTTTCCCCTTTTCCCGCCGGAGCTCTCTTGAAGCAATGTCGTTTTTTTCTCTCCCTTGGTAGCATCTTTCCACGAATAGAACGCACGGTCATTACCGCCGTATTTGGGGCAATTTTCAGTCTAGATACAGCGATAATGACCGTGCGCTCTATTCGGGGGAAGACGGTAGCAGGTGTGTGCGGCGCATGGCATACTCCCTGTCTCACTCAGCTTTTCGATTTTTTTATAGACGGGATCGAGGTCAGATACATCGAGGTCCGGGCATAATTGCAATCACATACATGCGAGAAAGTACTTAGCGCGAGTATGCTCTCTCAGCTAGACAAAGCTGCTAAAAAAAAAAAGCTGCTAAAGCTGCTAACACATTGATTATTCCTATTTAAAAAAAAAAAAAAAAAAAAAAAAAACAGCTGCTAACCCATTACTTACCTCTCCCGCCTGAGCTTGACACGTCAGCCGTCCGATGGATTTCCATCTCGCATTCAGATACCGACAGCTGGCAATATTATCCTCACGCAATCTGGTGCCAGCTAAGCTGGCGCCATAACTCAAACCGAACCCGACGGACCACCTCCTTCTCCCAGCACCATCATCGGCGCGCAGCGGCGCGTGCGATGATGCTCCTGGCACGGCAATGCCAGCTACATTGGCGGTGACGACAACACTATTCTCTTGGCAGGAAGATGAGCGTGTTCGAACGCCATAGCTGCTGCTACTGCTGCTGACAGCAGCGTTGCCCACGTGGCAACCGGACAGCGCACAGGCCGCCATAGCTGCAGCTTCGTCTGCTACCGCTCCTGCCTCCGAGCCACCGCCTGCCTGCTTTTTTTTGCTATAGCTGCCGCCGCCGCGTTTAACGCCAAGCTCTTTTGTCGTCTTTCTCCCCTCTTGGTGTGTTTACCCATTCCTGTTCCCTTCTAAATCAGGGACGCTGGACCCATTTTCCAGCAGGTGAGGCTCCCCACCAAGAGACTGGAGCATTTTTCCAAAAAAAAAAAAAAAAAAAAAAAAAAAAAAGGGTGTGGCGACACTATATTGGTCCATGTATCAGGTGGTATAGCCTTCTCCAGACCCCTCCTGGCCCCTTTTCGAAGGGGTCGAGGCCGAAAAACGGGTCCACAAACAAAACCGAGGGTCGAAAATGGCCCAATAGGGTAGGTTCTCTTTTATTCCATTGTTCTTTATGGGGGTATTTCGGATCTCTGGGCCTTTTTGGACGGGCCGAGGCCAAAACGGGCCCAAAGAGAACGCAGAAGACCAAAATTGGCCCAATGGGACTACCCTAGTTCTCCTTCATTCTATTTCATAAGGGTAGCCTCCCCGAGCATGCTAGTGGTGTCTGCTCTTATCAGCACCCCTAGCATTCTCTCGGGTCTTTTTCTCACAAAAAAAAAAAAAAAAAAAAGGGTATTCCCAGTTTCTGGCCCTTCTAGGATGGGTCCCCTTCATCCATTGCAGTTGTCCGCCCTCAATCCCCAATCATGATGGGGTGTTGATTTTCTGTTTTTTTCTTTTTTCTTTTTTTTTTTTACCACTAGTACCTCTGCGGCTTCAGAAATGAGGGAAAACGCCAGCTCCTGAAGAATTCGGAGGCCAGGCCCGACGACGACTACCGTTGATAAATCTAATCGGCGGCCGTCGTTTCTTTTCGGCCTCCTGAAAGGTCGGAGGCCCGCTATTTTCCGAACCGACAAAGGTACTAACGGTTCAAGCCCAGGTTGAAGAGGTTGGATTTCTAGACATGTGAGGGGTGCCTTCGGCACTTGGCCATGCGGTATTCCTACGGAAGTTCCCATCCAACCTACCACTTTCGTAGGGTTTCGCGCATTGATTTGAGTTTGCTTGTCGGGGTGATTGATGAAAATGCTTTTCGTTAGGTTTTAGGCTACGTGGGTAGGAGGTCAATCCTCTTTTTTTTTTTTTTTTTTTTTTTACAAGGAAAACAGCCCGAGCTAATGCTAGGGGTGCCGGTAAGAGCAGACACCACTATCACCGTCGGGGAGGCTCCATCTATTGGTGGGGAGCAACACCTGCTGGAAAGCGGGTCCAGCATCCCTGAACATTGAAATGTTTGTTTGATCCTAGCTGCTGATGACAGTGGGAAATGATGTGCACCTGTACATGTCATTCCAAGTCTGTAATGGTTCTCATATCTATCCCCCTCTGCCTTGTTTCCCTTTCTGCCCCCTGTATGTACTATCTCTTATGCAACTGGGGAGGAGGTCAATCCTTCCCGAGCCCTGGGAAGTAATCAATGCCTTCTGCTCCATAGGGAGATAATGGCAGACACGGTGGAAGGGCGCTTGAGCTCCATACGACATATACAGACCTGTTTTTTTTTTTTTTTTTTTTTTTTTTTTTTTTTTTTGACATATACAGATCTTACGAACACAATCACACAGTATTGGATGTACAGTAAGACATCCTCACGAAAAAAAAAAAAAAAAAAAAAAAAAAGAAAGAAAGAAAGACATCCTCACACATCATTGTATAGGGAGACGCTCGACCCGATTTCCAGCTGACACACATCATTGTACAGGGACTCTGGACCCGATTTCCAGCAGGTGTGGCTCCCCACCAATAGATGGAGCCTTCAATGCTGGGACCCACGTAATGGGCCTGTTCTTATCACCTCTTTAAGTGGGTTTTCCCGCATATTAAGTTTCTTTTTTTTTTCCTTTTTTTTTTTTTTTTTTTAAGGATGGGTCACCCCACGAGTAGATTGGAGCATTTGGCCCAAAAAAAAAAAAAAAAAAGGCCAAAATGGGCCCAAAGTGAAAGCAGAAGGTAGAAAATGGGCCAATGGGACTGGCTCTCCTTCATTCTATTCCATTTCATAAGGTATTCCGGATTTCTGGCCCTTTTAGGATGGTTCAAGGCCAAAACATTGCCCAGAGAGAAAGGGGAAGGTAAAAAATGGCCCAACGGGACTATTGGTAGTTCTCCTTCATTTCGTTCCTCTTCAAGCAGGTACTCAGGGCTCCTGGCCCTTTGCGGAGGGCCTAAATGGGCCCAAAAAGAAAACCAAAGGTAAAAAATGGCCCAATAGGGCCAGGTTCTCCTTCATTATATCATGCAGGTTTTCGGGGCTCATGGCCCTTCTCAAAGGGATCAAGGTCAAAATGGGCCAAAGAAGAAAACCAAAGTCGAAAATGGCCCAATCGGGCCAGGTTCCCCTCCATTCCATTCCTCCTCATGCAGGTATTCAGGGCTCAAGCTCTTTCCAGAGGGAGGCCGAAATGGGCCCATAAAGAAAACCAAAGGTCCAAAACGGCCCAATAGGCCTAGGTTCTCCCTTCATTCTATCATGCACATCTTTGGGGCTCCTGGCCCTTTTCGGAGGCCCGGGTCAAGGTTAAAATGGGCAAAAGAAGAAAACCAAAAGGTTGAAAAATTCTCTTACCACCACCAGGATGGAGGTCTTGCACATGGGGCCTTTCAAAAAAAAATAAAAAATAAAAAAAAATCCAATCGTGCTAGGTTCCCCTTCATGATTTTGTTCCTCGTCATGTAGGTATTCGGGGTTCCTGGCCCTTTGCAAAGGGGTCAAGGGGAAAACGGGCCCAAAAGGAAAACCAAAGGATAGGTTCTTCTTCATTTTATTCTTCTTCATTTTATTCTTCTTCATATTCTGACGCCTGATAACCTCACGCCCTGTGTGACTTCCTGATCGAAGTGGGAGGAGTAAGGCCCGGTCGTGCGAATTAGGGGGTGTGCCAAGGATTTTAGGAAAGGGAGGGTGGAGCCCCAAGTTGGAACTAAGATCTCCGGTGTCAAGGTTCTATGGACGAACTGACAGGAATCAATTTGCCGATCAATCTAGACTCAGTTAGAAAGGTAAGTACGCAATTTCGTATCAACACTGGTTCGAATCCCTCGTCGCCCGAGTTTTCCGCACTAAAACAGTCAGGGGTGTATGCGAGGTCGCAAAGATTTTCCACGTCTTCCTACGGGCTCACAGAGTTCAGCGTCCGACGAGGGGGCTTTCAGTCGAATGCCCCGAGCCTTGTACTCTGTCTCACTACGAGGCTGGTAGGGGAACCACATTGTCTGTGAAACTTTCCTCCTGAACACTCAGCAACTGCCATTTCGTCAAAATGGACATTTTACACTTTCCTCCTGAACACTCAGCAACTGCCATTTCGTCAAAATGGACATTTTTTTATTTTTTGAACAAAATTGAAACCAAGTTTTTTGGCTGAAAACTCGTTCCGGCATTTTTAAAACGTTGGACCCCCTGGATGTATGTGGCCTTCGCTTGAGACCAGATACATCAAGGCAGTACTACCTGGATGTATCCGAGTCTGGCTCAAGCTAAGTCCACATACATCCAGGGGGTCCAGCGTTTTAAAAATGCCGGACCCTCGGGAGCAGAAAATTTGGACGATTTTTCGGCAAAAAAACTTGGTTCCAACTTCCCCCGCCGTCCTTGGATACAATATACTCTACTAAACCTAGAAATTATCATTGATTTCATTCATGCCCCCGTTAAACCACCACTACCCTCACCGTCCTAAATTCGGGAGGACCTGCAGGGCAATCAATGCTGGCAGGCCCTAACGTTACTGTTTTCTTTTTCAGTCATTCGCAGACATTCTCTCTGTAACATGGGACGCTGGAACGCTGGACCCGATTTCCAACAGGTGAAGCTCCCCACCAATAGATAAAGCCTCTCCCCAAGTGTTAGTGGTGTCTGCTCTTATCAGCAGCACTAACACTGGTGGGGGTGTTTTTCCAAAAAGAAAAAAAAAAAGAAGAAAAAGGTTCATGATGACTACCCGTAGCACAGTACTACCCCCGCCGTCCTAAATTCGGGAGGAGAGGTAACACAGGTTCATGATGACTACCGGTACCACAGTGGGGAGAACCGACAGAGTGGCAAAATGAAAAATGCTTCAGATTGCCGCAGCAATTTATTTCGAGGTCAAAACATTTTTATTTTTTTATCCCTGGGAAGATCACGACCAAATCTACAGACCCTCCAATTTTCAGATCTTTTGAGTAATTCTTCTAAGCGCAAAACTCGCAGAAGTTGGCGTACTTTTTATGTTGGCCCACGCGTGGTAAGAGTGGCAAAAATGGAAAAAGCAACCAATTGGCATGACATTTATTTGCATCCAAAATATTTCAATATTATTTAATAATATATTATTATTATTTTATTATTATTATTATTATTATTATTATTATTTCACATATTTTTCCTAGAAAGATCACCATGTAATCTACAGGATCTCAAGTTTTCAGACTTTTCATCAATTCTTTTGAGCGTGAAAAATCGCCAAAGTTACACCGTTCTCGGCCTTTTGGCTAAGATCAAGTGAAATGTATCTGTTCTGATCAGTTTAATATCTGATCCGTGGTCCATAGGGCAACAAAAAAATAAAAGCAATCGCCAAAGTTGGCCCTTGAAAATTGCGGGACTGGGCCTGTATAGGCCTCCTGGTTGGTGCGTTGCCCCCCCCCCCCCCCCCCCCCCCCCCCCCCCCCCCCCCCCCCCCCATAGAACCCGGTCTGCTATGCCTTTTTTTGCAGGACTGGGCCCGAATAGGCCTCCTGGTTGATCTGTTTAATATATCATGCTAAGGCAAATCCGTGTTCCACCATATCAGCCATGTTACTCTAAATAGCGGAGGCATTGATTACTTCCCTGCGACAGGGAAGGATTGACCTCCTGCCATCAAAACCTATCCCTAGCGAAAAGTATTCTCATCAACCACCACCGCAAACAATCATCAAACACACCAGAAAACATATCAGACACATGAAAACCCTAAACACCCTACCTCCCACCTGAGGGGCGATCAACTCCCCATGTTGATTGAAACTGAGGGCTGGACAATTCCAATCAACGAAGGGGACATCGACTATCCTACACCCATCCGCTGCCAGACATCATCGAGGAGCAAGGAAATAGAAGGGAGGGGGGGAAATAAAACATTTTTCCAGCTCTAATCTCCTCTTCCCATCGTCGTCAGATCCCCACTCCTCTCCCTTTGTGATGATGTTGCTGGTTCTGGCGTTGTTGCCAATGCTGATGCTGATGTTGTTGTTGTTGTTGTTGTTGTTGTCATCGTTTTTGTTGTTGTTGCTGCAGTTGTCACTGTTGTCGCTGTCGGCGCTAGCACTGCAGGCGCTGTTAGCGTTGTTGAAAGCGCTGATAATGATGATGCATCTGTCATTTCTGTTATTTTTGTTGCTGTTGTTATTACCACCGTTGTCTTCGCCGCTGCCGAAGCTGCTAATGATGATGTCGCTGTTGCTATTGATGTTGGCGCTGAACCCTTCATTGTCTTCGCAGCTGCCAATACCGTTCAACTTGTTGCTGTTGTTATTACCGCGGTTGTCTCCGCCGCTGCCGATGCTGCTAATGATGATGTCGTTGTTGTTATCGCTGTTGGAGCTGTAACCTTCATTAAGTTCATTGTCTTCACAGCCGCCGGTATCGCTGATGTCGATGTTGTTGTTGTTATTGATGTTGGCACTGTTACCTTCGTCGCTGCCTGCGCCGCCTCCATGTCATTCTCGCCCTCCAGCCGCTCCTGCAACAGATAACGCAGGTTGCGACCCTCAGCGAAGAGGGCATAACAGGTAGTCGTCATGCCATCTGCCCTCCTCCAATCGATGCAGGCTTCGAGCTGGGGACCCGGCCCCTCCTCCAGCTCCAAGATAATATCCAGCATGTCCTCGGTGATGCCATTCAATTAATCAGCCAGAGAGATCGCTCCCCCTTTGACGTTTGGCTCCTTGTGCGACCGCAAAGACAGCTCCCCCACAATCTCCTGTAACCGCCTGCATCCCTTCTCCAAGGTAATCAGCCATTCGTCTGCTCCACGTTGTAGTTACCCCACCAACTCCATCTCTTACCCAGAAAGCTGCGCCCCTATTGCGTTTCCTCGTCGATCTCACAGCTGGCACTACCCCTGCCACCGCGTCGCGGGACATCCACGTCACCAACAACAGATGCCACGTGGCAATCAAGGAGCGACGCACGTCTGTCGGGCACACGCACAGGCCTAGCAGCCGAGGAGCTCCCCTCCACAGGCGCTAGTCTAGCCGGAGGGACTGGGCCTTACAGGTCCGCCGGCATCAGGGCGCTAGCTAGTGCAGCTCCCTCTCACCTATTTTTTCTTTTTTCTTAGTATAGATCCTAGGATAGTATGGATCCGATCCTAGGGTAGTATAGATCCTTTTACCGAGAAACTTATGGGTGCTTTCAGATAAGGTTCACACAAAGGGTTTTGCAGGCTGCCTGGACCAATCTGGGCTTTTTGAGGACTATATGATACCATATTAAAAGTGTGATTTTTAAATTTGAAGAACTATGCTATATTAAACGGATGAAAAATGCAAGTCAGGGAACCAAGGGTGCAGTGCAGGAACAAAAGCAAGTACCACAAAAAGAAGAAGAAGAAGAAGAAGAAGAAGAAGAAGAAAAGATAAGGAAACATAGAGATTGAAAAAGAATCTGCAAGCCAGAAAACCAAAGGATCAAAAAAAGAAAGAAAACCAAAGGGTGCACTCCAGGAACCAAAGAAAGTACCGAGCCAAAAAGCTGCCCGGCTGTTGCCAGGAAATCATACCAGATTTACCTGAAGTTTTCAAATACTGCGCTTTCAAATTTCAAATTTCGAATGCTCACTAGGCTACCAGCTGGGCCGCCCGGGTCGTCTTGTTTTCCCGGGTGGCCCGGCCGTGCAAGGGCCAAAGAGGGTCCCAGCCAAAAAAAAAAAAAAAAAAGAAGAACTCCAAAAAATCTGAAAAGAAAACTATGTTATGCAGAAAAATAAACTGAACAACTTTTGCCTCAGGGGTCACAGCGAAATTCTATACCAAATTGCAAATAAAAAATAAAGTGATTTTTTTTTTTGTATTTTTTAAATTCTTTCTGGCCAGGCCGGGCAAGTTGTCCCGGGCCACTCTGGTAGCCTAGAATGCTCAATGATAAGCTAACTGTATACAAAATTCCCACAGGCTCTAACACAGAGAGAAGAGGGGGTTGAGTAAGGAAAATATGTGTGTGTGTGTGTGTGTGTGTGTGTGTGTGTGTGTGTGTGTGTGTGTGTGTGTGTGTTGTCATAATCTCTATACACTCAAAAAAAGCACAACTGTACCAGACTGTTTCGTCAGACTTTCACCGACTCATCTTGTGTGTGTGTGTGTGTGTGTGTGAGAGAGAGAGAGAGCTGTCTCTTATACACATCTAGATGTGTATAAGAGACAGCTCCAGACCCCTCCTGGCCCCTTTTCGAAGGGGTCGAGGCCGAAAAACGGGTCCACAAACAAAACCGAGGGTCGAAAATGGCCCAATAGGGTAGGTTCTCTTTTATTCCATTGTTCTTTATGGGGGTATTTCGGATCTCTGGGCCTTTTTGGACGGGCCGAGGCCAAAACGGGCCCAAAGAGAACGCAGAAGACCAAAATTGGCCCAATGGGACTACCCTAGTTCTCCTTCATTCTATTTCATAAGGGTAGCCTCCCCGAGCATGCTAGTGGTGTCTGCTCTTATCAGCACCCCTAGCATTCTCTCGGGTCTTTTTCTCACAAAAAAAAAAAAAAAAAAAAGGGTATTCCCAGTTTCTGGCCCTTCTAGGATGGGTCCCCTTCATCCATTGCAGTTGTCCGCCCTCAATCCCCAATCATGATGGGGTGTTGATTTTCTGTTTTTTTCTTTTTTCTTTTTTTTTTTTACCACTAGTACCTCTGCGGCTTCAGAAATGAGGGAAAACGCCAGCTCCTGAAGAATTCGGAGGCCAGGCCCGACGACGACTACCGTTGATAAATCTAATCGGCGGCCGTCGTTTCTTTTCGGCCTCCTGAAAGGTCGGAGGCCCGCTATTTTCCGAACCGACAAAGGTACTAACGGTTCAAGCCCAGGTTGAAGAGGTTGGATTTCTAGACATGTGAGGGGTGCCTTCGGCACTTGGCCATGCGGTATTCCTACGGAAGTTCCCATCCAACCTACCACTTTCGTAGGGTTTCGCGCATTGATTTGAGTTTGCTTGTCGGGGTGATTGATGAAAATGCTTTTCGTTAGGTTTTAGGCTACGTGGGTAGGAGGTCAATCCTCTTTTTTTTTTTTTTTTTTTTTTTACAAGGAAAACAGCCCGAGCTAATGCTAGGGGTGCCGGTAAGAGCAGACACCACTATCACCGTCGGGGAGGCTCCATCTATTGGTGGGGAGCAACACCTGCTGGAAAGCGGGTCCAGCATCCCTGAACATTGAAATGTTTGTTTGATCCTAGCTGCTGATGACAGTGGGAAATGATGTGCACCTGTACATGTCATTCCAAGTCTGTAATGGTTCTCATATCTATCCCCCTCTGCCTTGTTTCCCTTTCTGCCCCCTGTATGTACTATCTCTTATGCAACTGGGGAGGAGGTCAATCCTTCCCGAGCCCTGGGAAGTAATCAATGCCTTCTGCTCCATAGGGAGATAATGGCAGACACGGTGGAAGGGCGCTTGAGCTCCATACGACATATACAGACCTGTTTTTTTTTTTTTTTTTTTTTTTTTTTTTTTTTTTTGACATATACAGATCTTACGAACACAATCACACAGTATTGGATGTACAGTAAGACATCCTCACGAAAAAAAAAAAAAAAAAAAAAAAAAAGAAAGAAAGAAAGACATCCTCACACATCATTGTATAGGGAGACGCTCGACCCGATTTCCAGCTGACACACATCATTGTANNNNCTAAGAGATGACACTGGCTACTACCTGACCCCTGCAAAAAAAAAAAGAAAAAAAAAAACAGCCGTCTCCACTACACTTCCCCTCCCCCTCCCCCTGCCCCCAACCCTTACAGCCTTCATATGAGAAACCACACTGAACTCTACCAATGCCCCTCACTCCCTGCCCGACAGGCCTCCTCCACTTCGCTTACCCTCTCCCCACACTCGCCCCGCCCCCTTCTGCCCTTCATAAGAGCAAAAAGTTCTCGAAATTGTACGGAAATCGACGGATGACGCTCACTCCTGTACTGAAATCGATGGATGACACTCACTCCTGTGCGGAAATCGACGGATGACACTCACTCCTGTACGGAAATCAACAGATAACACTCACTCGTGTACGGAAATCGACGGATGACACTCACTCTCTGCCGGACAGGTCTTCTCCGCTTCAACTCCCCTTTCCCCTGGCCCCGCTTCCACCGTTCGTAGGAGCGAACAGGCCGCGAAACTATACAGAATCTCTATGATTGGGGGAAACGGAACTGGGACAATTTGAATTGTCCCAGTTCCGACTCGCTGCCAAGTTTCGAATTGTCCCAGTTCCGTTGTCCCAGTTTCGATACCTACACCCATGGTTCAGACTCGCTGCCAAGTTCCAATGGAACTGGGACAATTCGAAACCATATAGTACGACCATTGGCATGCTCATGCTCACCCCCACTTGATTCGTCGCTTCTTCACTCACATATGCTGTTGATGGCCATCTCCACTACACTTATCCCCCTTCCTCCCCCCTCCTCCCCTCCCCTCCCCCCACCCCCTTGGTGTGACAGAAACTCTACGACAAATATTAATCCCCTAAAATGTGCAGGTGATGGAAACACTACCAATGACACCCGTGAAGGTCTTCTCTGCCACCACATTTCCCCCACCACGCCGATCCTTCCAGAATCGGAGTTTAGCATGCTCGCCCCTTGGCTCGTCACTCCATTCTGTGTAATGATCTAATCAGCGGTCGAAGGCCAAGAACATAAAGAGGCAGATTGAGAATTGCATTAATGGCGGAAATGTCGAACACCCGTGAAGAGCATCGCAGTGCCATATTTGTTACAGCAATCAATCGCATCTTGGTCTCTTATGCTCCCCCCAGGTTGGACGATGACGCTCACTCCTGCCTCACAGGCCTTCTCCACTGCGTCGCCCCAGGCTGTTGGGAGATGACATGCATGCAAGGAAACGACATAGAAAAAATAATATCAGATCCAGGAACGAACCAGAAGAACAAC